AATTCTCCGATTTCAATGACTTCGTCGCCTTTAACGTCAGAATCAATGAGTTCTCCAGCTTCGCCAGCACATGCTTCTCTCGAATCCACAAGTAACACCTGGGCGACACGGTCTCCTGCACGATAACTGCGTCTCAGTTGGTCTGTCGAGGTTGGAATGGATCTACGAATTAGTTCGGCGTCAGCTTCCCGCATAGATGGCGTATAGCTTCCAATCAGAATGATATGTGTCCCGGAACGAATCCAAGACGAAGGGAAGAGGGGTGATGTTGCAGATGTAGCACATACTACAAGGTCTGCAGCACTCAGAGCAACTTTGATAGGTGACTCAGTGGTCTCTGACGACGATATCTCACTAGACAGAAGAAAGAAAGAAATTTCGGAGAAGCGAAGTTCTAATGATGCCTTTAGAGACTGGGCACGTTCGTTGACAGAACGATTGACAATAGTACAGGTCTTGATGGATGGAAAGAAGCGTATGTGCATATCAAGATGAGCTTCAACTTGTTTACCAGCCCCAAAAGCTACTATATTCTTCGGTGTGCGAAGCCCAACCAAATTTGATGATAAAAGGGAGCCTATATAATGAATGTATTTCATAAGCTCGAAGATCTCAATCCTGGGCGTAATATATCGCACCAGCAGCATTTCGCAATGCAGTTAAGCTTCTCGCGTTTACGATGGCTTTGACTGCTCCCGTATCCTCGTCCAAAACCAAAGTCGAAGCTGGTAATCCTCGCGCATCTTCATTAGATCGTGGCACACTGACTACTTTGACAGTAGTTCCAAGCAAAGATGGGCATCCAATTCTTGAGGGCATAAAAAGCGCTGTGTGATTCGATGTAGATATCAAGATTCGGTGGGGAGTGTTTACTTCGGTTGATTGAGAAGATAGAAGAACGAAGACGCGAGCCATTAATGACTGAAGCTGCGACGGAGCGAATGCAGATACGATACGTTCGACATCAGCGGCAGATAATACGAGAAGGGACATATGCAAATCCCAGTATCTTGAGGATGAAATGAATGAAAAGTTGAAAGATGTTCCGTTGCAGTTAACAGGAGATTTAATGGACAAATGATAATCGAATGCTGTCGGGTCATAGCCCATTATCGGCCCGGATATTCATTATTAATGTCGCACGCTTCGGACTTTGGCTTGACTTGCTCGACGCACTGTCAAACCTGCTTCAACTTCTTAGACATTTTTTTCACAATGAAAAAAAAATTGAAATAAGGGTTTAGGGCACAATTATTTTTTCCCAGCATAGTAAACAATGGATGATTCCTATTACTACAGCTTAAACTTATACTCAGTTCTACTAAACAGTCTAGTTGGTACTACGGCCAGTACTTAGTATTACAAATCACTCTATAGAACCTAATATACCAGTCTAATTTATTCTGACTTCATCCATTCGACAACATTCTCAGCCCATTCCTCTCCTTGTCCAGTTGATAATGCCCAATTCGGGCTTATGTGATTATGGCCAGCAGCGATAATTTTCCGAATTCGAAGACCAGTACGAGCCTCGAGAGCATCTTTGAAATCCTTTCCAACGGCCTTCAGCCAATCTGGCTCCCTTTCAGCCTCTACCAGTAGAATTTTAGGAAGTTCATCAATAGTAAGGGAAGGTGCGCGTTCAAGAAGAGCCCAAACATCGTTTTGATGTGACTCTTCCAAGCTCCCCCAATATTGGGCTATAATTGGCGCCGATGGATGATCTGAAGTGAGGGAGCGGAAATGATAGCCTCCTCCGTTTAGGATTACACCAGAGATTCTAGAATTCAAATCGGTGGAGGCCAATATCTCGGGCAATAGCAGCATAGTTGCCACATGGGCAGCTCCTGCAGAATGGCCCATTACAAATAATAAATCGGCGTTGGGTATAGGGGAATTTGGAATCATTAAATTATTCGGGTTGTTGACAATCCATTCAATTGCATCGCGTACGTCCTCTGCTGGCCCAGGGAATTTAACGTGAGGTACCAAGCGATAGTCCGGTATGACAGTCACAAATCCTTGACGCGCAAAGTAAGCCCCAAGACAAGCGTATCCCAGATCGAATGGTTCGGGGAATGTGCGTTCCCCAGAATTAAATCCACCTCCGTATATAAAAACGAGCACAGGGGCTGTATAATTAGCGTCTAATCCTATAGGATAATAGACATCGAGCTAAGGGGTAAAACGTTAGGATGAGCTGGCTTCCTGGGAAATTTTACGAGTAATGTACTATACCTTGTGCCTCTCCGTCTCTCCGTACTTGAAAGTTCTCCTCGGAACTTCAAGGATCTCTGAGCGTTTCGCCTCGAGGAAGGGATGAAATCCACCGACAGCTATGCAAAAAGTAACATACATCAGAGAGAGGACTTTAAACTGAAGAACGACTGCGCTGGCGGAAGGTCGACTTACTAGGGACCGCAATTCGTTGGATTTCAGTTGCTTTAAGACGCGAAACAGCCTCCATGGAGAAATGCGGTTGATTGTAGATATGGCTGGTTGAAGATATAAGTGCTGTGATGGTTTGGAACAAGAGCGTTGACACTGCGGACTCAGAAGCATGCTGGGCTCGTGTGACTTAGTACTGTAAATTAGACTCTTTACTCGGACTCCTATGTACACTACCGGGCCGGTTCTATGAAAATAGATCCTCACAGGTCGTTGGTACTTGTGGAAGTACTCTTTGTACCCTAGCTGTCGTACCCCTACTTCAACTCCTTTGTATCGCGCTGAAAATAGTTTTACGTAACAGGTTGATTCGGACCTCATTAGTAACTCTCCCCGCCACTACTAGTAAACAAGGTTTCCTTTTGCTTAAAACATAAAAGTGAACATCCTATTCGATGCTCTAATAAATCCCTAGATGCTCACTAAACTCCTAAATGAGCTTATCTCTCTCGTTATCGACAACCTCAATGATAGAGACGTTATTTACTGTATTAGATAAGTATGCAAGCCTCTCACAGGTCTAGTCACTTCATATGTTTCATACTATCTCGTTTTCGTCCAACAAATCCAGCGCAGAAAGGTCACAAAGCCGAAAAATTCTCCTCAAATTGTACCAATAGTGAGAGTTCTTAATTTGGTGACAAAAGCTACTGCCGGAGTTATTCTATTTTGAGGGTATAATTGGGGGTGGTTATGAGAGTGCTCGTGGCTCGAATAATATGCGTTCAGAAACTAGCAATAAGAATAAGTCAGGCGACAGTGATGATATCAGCGTAAGAGAACAGGATACCATAGACACCGAGGAGGGCGAAGGACATAACAGCCACGGCGAGAATGAGAATGAGAGCGATTATTAGGAAGGTGAATAGAATCTAGAAAGCCGTATGGAGGAGCGCACAAACACGGGAGACGACGCGAGTTTAGCGGAAGAGGACCAAGGCACTATTGTTCTATACACGAAATATTACGCAACCGAAGTCGACGAAGTTTTTGGTTTGTACAGAACATGGTTCCAACGTTTACTCGATTATAAGTAACTGATGCGACCTGTACTTATTAAGTCTTCTTTCTCAGAAACGAATTTCTGAACAGTGGCATTCCTACAGGTTTATAAATAACAGACGTAACTTCAAGTGTGTTACATACAGTACATTTTGTCCCTTGCCGCTTCTGACTATATAGCAAGTAAAGAGCGCCGTTTAATGGGCGTCGTGCATCTTGTCAATACTTCTTCCAGAAAGTAAATTCAATATCCCATTCTGTGAGCGACGAACTGCGGCATGTATGGACAAATGCAGTGCCGTGCACACACTGAATCTCCCAACCACCATGCTTGAAATGGACGGCATTCTAAAGAGCAACGAACATGCATTCAACAGAAAAGTTCAGATTTCACGCAAGAATTGTGCAGAAACATGCGTGCCAAGTATCCTGCTCTCAATATCTTCATCTGTCACGTCAAGCATGATTATCGCTTCGACGGCAGCAAGGGTGTCGACTGGAACCATTAGCATGAGGAGATTGATATTCAGATTGGTGGTACTATCGTGGATATCTAGCGTTGAATTGCTGTGCCAACCAAGCTAACAATAGTTGGATTAGATACGAAGTATTAGACTAGGTCTGATACTTTTACCAGGCGGGGAGATGATGGATTCTTTAACGCAACTCTCTTGAACAGCTTTGGTGATAATTCTAGCTAATTTTTCGTGCAGTGGGCTTATCAGGAAAGAGTCTAATCAAAGTCGAGCGAAGGTACAACCATTGTATTTTCGTGCCCCTGAGCAGCAGACGAGGCGGTCTTTAAGGTGAAGCCCAATAAACGACTCTAGAGCATGACAGTTTCTAGTTCCTTTTTTAAGACCTTGTATGTACTATCAAAGTGATAGCCAGGGTCCAACATAATTTTGGTACTAGAGATGGGGGACGAGAGGGAATTTTCCTGTAAGAGTACCACTTCTGTAGCATAGCCGGTATTCTTGAATTGCTTTGAATTATGTGCGAATGAAGTGGATGGTTGGACTTGGCTTGTCGAATTTATTGGTCACCCATTGTTTAGTAGACATTCCATATGAGGTAGCAGGAAGATATTTGAGGGTAGAGTATAGCACAGCACACGAGTCAAGTTGGAAGATGATGTTTGAAAAGAAAAGACTTATGATGACGATAACATACTAACAGCTGATGCCGAATCCTTGAAATGCAACAAGGGCAAATACACGACCTACTGGTCGGACATTCTTAAAGGCTCCCAAACAAAGACACAACATTTATTCAGAGTATTGCATTTCAACTCAGTAATAATGTGTTGTAAAAATATGCATCAGGTACAAAGTTGTTTTACTATAGGGTAAAATTCATAAGGTGTAGTTTACTTTCATTTTTAATTTCAAGTTCAACAAATGATTGAAGCTTGAACTCATAATATATTGTGCCTGAAAGCAGTGTTCCATTGGTGTTCAATATTTCCAGCCAATCAAGCGTCGCGAAAGTGCTCAAAATGAGCTAGTATGACTCAAGGTCGATTCATGTTTAATTTCAATTCAAATAACTGCCCCATGGCTGAGTTGGTTACAGCGTCCGACTGTTAATTCAGCGTGAAAATCGCCGGTTACAATATCGGAAGGTCGAGAGTTCGAGCCTCTCTGGGGCAGAATGTTTTTGATTTGGGGGTTCACGCACACGCTTTACTGACATCGGCAACAAGTCTAGGAATCTAAATTCGAAAAGGCTCATCAATCAACATCTAGATTCGTAGAAGCACAATTGAGCCAAAGGGGTGGGGCAGCTGACAGAAACAAACTCTGCATGCCTTCGGAATGGAGCAATGCCTATTGACTGTATATGGTCGTACGTCTCACGTCCAGCAGCTCTTGATGCAACGCTTCCTTTTTCTGGGCTTCTCAGCAATACAAACGATCATTATGGAACACGGCCGTGACAAGAATAATTGAACAACCCTCATAGCATGCCTTCCAGTGAACCAGTCTCCCGTATATCTGTTTAGAAGAGGCCCTCACTGGGCCCACGCGTCGTAGGGCAGCATCGCATAGGGGACAGCGTGGAGATTGAGAAAAAGCTGCTGATTGGACGAGAAACTCATTGCACATATTTGGCAGGATCTTTCACACGTGCACAGAAGGATAACCGGTGCGGTCCCCGAAAATCTTGGCGGTGGGCGGAAGGGGCTGTGATTGGCTGAATTTGGTCATTTCCGCACTGGGGCAGTCGTGAGCGCTTAATTGTGGCAGCATCATCAGTGACCACCGGGGCTCAGTAACTCCTTGAACATCTCGCCAGTACATATATCCACCCGTTTACCCCGCTGCCTTTTCTTCCTCTTGCTGCTTGATACAACACCATTAGATTTCTGCTCGCTGCTGCCGATGCCCGTGCTCAACAGCATCCTCGACCACCATGATGTTTCTGCCATCGTTGCCGCCTTTGCTGGTGCCGTGACCCGCGACGACCCAAGCGTTGTGGAACCTCGCATCGGGGTCATGTTCATCATTCTCTTCATATCGCTGTTTGGTTAGTGTTGAGCTGTGTTAGGGTGGTTTGTGAATGCTTATCGCACCGAAGCCGTCTCGTTTCCCGGCGTGTCAAAACAGATCGCATTTTTGCGCATACCACACATCTTGTTCTTCATCGGGAAGCATTTTGGAACAGGTACATAGATAAATTTTCCCCTAAATTTTAATCTTACTAACCATGTCTCAGGCGTTATATTAGCGACAGCGTTCATACACCTCCTAAGCGATGCATTCGAATCGCTGCAGAGACCAGTGGTGAAGGAGCAGTACCATAACATCGGAAAATGGACAGGACTTATCATGTACGCCGATATCCCTCTTTCGTACAAATTCATATCTGAAACATGAAATTGCCCAGATTATCATCACTATTAATCATCTTCCTCGTCGAATGTACATCTTCCAATCTTACGTCTCTTCCATACGACCACACTGACTCCCACTCATAGACATATCCACATCATACGTCGACCACCTCCAAGCCGACCCATCGGCGCCCCCATCACCCATATGCACTCCCGCTTCTTCACGGCCCCGCTCACGAACGCGATCTTCCCGCCCAGGATCTTCCAAGAGGCTGTTGGCGATCGAACCAGTGAATGAGCACACCCCGCTACTCACAGCATCACCCTCTCCTTTGTCTCACACCCCCACGCCCCCAGCACAAGCTATTCCAGTAATACCCTCACATGTCCCACCAAAACCACACATCTCACACGCCAAAACTACCCCTGCTGCCAAGCCCTTCCCTCCAAAGCGCGCTCAGTCGTTATCCTACCTCCCACCTTCAACCCGCCCTCACCCTCTATCCAATTCACGCAACATCCACAACCTCTCGTTCTACAGCAATAGTCACAACACCCACGCACACATATTCCACCCCGGCCATCTACACCACCACCCTGCCCCTTCCTCGTTGATCCCAATCGACATCCTAACCAACACCCCGAGGCTGATCAGGGGCACTACGGGTGGTGGCGTCTGTGTCTGTGTCGTAGGCGAGGACTCTGCAGTGAGTAGCAGAGGCGTGAGTGCGAGTAAAAGTGTGAATATGGGGAGTAGAGGGCGGAGTGGTAGGCCTGTTCGGCCTGGAGAGGAGGAGGATGATGTGGGAAGTAGTGAGGGGAGTCAAATTATGGTGGAAAGGGAAGAGGAGATCCCTAGAGTCGGGAGGAGGAGACAAGTTGTTGGGATTCTTGTTCTTCAGCTGGGTATCATGATCCATTCACTGGTGATTGGGTTGACGCTGGCGATAACCAATGGGGCTGATTTCAGTGCGTTTTCCTTCCCATCCTGCCTTTTCTCTCCACTATACTATACTAACGCGCTTCTGAATAGCGTCGTTAACCACCGCCATAATATTCCACCAACTTTTCGAGGGGCTATCACTAGGCATCCGAATAGCCGCGCTACCTCCAGCAAAAGAGCCTCTCTCCCTCTCCTCCCCCCCTCTTTCTACCTCGCAACATTCACATTCACCATTGGCAAACTCCCACTCCCATTCACGCTCATCGCCGACACTTATTCCTTCCCACCACTCTCCTTCTCCCTCCCATGAACAACGCCACCATGCGGGGTGGTGGAGATGGCCAAAACTCTCATCTTGGCATCCTAACTGGCTCAAATGGACGTTATCGATTTTGTTCGCGATCACCACGCCTTTCGGGATGGGTGTTGGAATGGTGGTATTTGCAAGTAAAGGAAGAAGTCAACATGATGTTGGTGAGTCCCCTATCCCCTCGTCTACCCATTCTCTTTTCTTCATCGAACAACACTAACCTTTCTCCACCCCTAGCCCGGATGTACTTAACCCAAGGCTTGATGTCCGCCATCTCGGCTGGCATGCTCATCTACGCCGCCACCGTCGAAGTGATCGCAGGCGACTTCGTCTTTGGCGACGTCGCCGGTCACTCGCACTCACATGGGCACTCCCATGGAGGAGGATTCGACACGGAAGACGCTTTTTCGGATGCTGAGGACGTACAGTCAGCGTTGAGCGATGATGAGGACGAGCAACACCCACAGGGACATGCGCATGCGCATATGCACGAGCCGGGCCATTCGCAGAAGCATCATCCGGAGAGGATACGCAAAAGGAGGAGGCAGTCAGGGAGCGGTAGCAGTGAGTGTTTTTTTTTCTCTTGTCCAGAATCGATGTACTAAACTGTCGGATATAGCTAATGATGTCGAAGAAGCTGCTAAGGAACTTGAAGGAAGAGATGGACGTCTACGGAAGAAGGTTCTGGCTGTGTGTAGTCTGTTGGCCGGAGTTGGCGGGATGGTGCTCATCGGACTGGCGGAGTGAAAGTGAAATCAGTGCTTCACTTTAACTTCGACACTTCCGTGGGCTCCGGTCTGTAGTCCGCTACTCCATGCAAATTCTACAACCCCGAAGCTCGCCAACTCGGATGACGCCCTCTAGCCTCTTGGCAATCACACACAAGAAGGAAATGCACTCCTACAAACTCATGATTCGATTCAGCTCTCAAATCGATTGACGAAATCCGATATAACCTAGAAAAGATATTGATCTCTCAAGTAGCATGCTTTCTGTACATCATCATCGCTATCAGACATACCACGCATTGTATTTTAGTATGGCCTCGTAACAAATTTAATGGATTCAGGACTCTTTCACTTAGACTATAGGGGCTATGAGATTATTCGATACAAATAAGTGTACAAGAGACTATGAATACAGGGTATGAGATTGTTCCGGAATGGTAGAATTAGAGATATGAAGTCCATGGTAATACAGTGTGAGAGATTATAATATAGAAAAAGATGTGTTCCTTCAACCGCACCAACGAGCTCATTTCGACTGCCACATTTTAGGGAGTTTGAGCATATCAGGTCCCAGCAGTGGGCCCAGAAGGTCTTCGCCCTCGAGAATCCCTGCCTCCCTGAAATATATTCGGGCCTTGTCGGTTCTGCTGAATGGCACACCAAGAAACACGGTTATGATAGCCATGATGACAGCGACCCAGATGCAGACTACCATCGGGAAAACGAAGAACATGACCGGAAGGACGAGCTGGAACAGCACGTTGATCTTCGTGACGGCGAAAAGTATAAAATCAGCCCAGCAGGCGAAGAGGAAAAACTGGGCAGCCTTCCGATCCTGCCAGGTACGACCGTTTGCGTTGAGCCGTTTTTTCAACTCAATGTAGACCTCATCTGGAGAAGGATTTGTGCGAGGTGCATTGCCGAAGGGATACAAGTATCTCCGTAGTCCTCGAGGAATATCAGGGTATTTCGGGTGACGAGTCCTATTACGCCTGGGAAGATTATGCGTCTGAGGAGGATGAGCAATAGGACCTGCAGGTTGAGCAGGAATAGGTTGAATAGGAACATGGTTAATGGGCGCAGTGGGGACCTGCTGAACGGAGACAGTAGGACTCGTAGTGACTGGAAAGGGATTGTTGAGGTTGAGTGAGCCAAGTGCCGGATACGGACCCGCACTGAAAGGACCATTGGACGGCGGGGAACTGTTGAAACTAAAGCTCAAAGAAGTTGGACGTGGGAAGGTTGGTAAATGACGCTGTAAGATGCTGTCTAGAGTAACCACGGGGAAATCAACTGGGCCAATGGTGGGCATGTCGAAATCGATGGCAATGTTGAGGATTCCCTGCGGGTTGCCCTCTGCGCTCTCCGCAGTGAAGCGGATGTAGGGTTCGCGGGGGGCGATGCACATAGATACAAGGGTGCCGTCAGGATGGTGCCGAGCTGGTTCTGGAAGAATAGCAAGAACTGCAATCAAAGTAACCTCTGTATCGATTGCGCTAGCTGCTTGGATGGTCGTCGCACCGACTGCTCCCAGGGTGGCCGTGATACCATTGGGTCCCAGGTAAATTTCGGAGCCACCGTAGCCAAGGGTACTGTTCTTGGGGAAGTATTTAAACCAATGTGACTTGAAAGTCCTACAAGAATAAGATGTTAGTTGTGAGTACGCTGGGAGAGGTTTTGACGTACATTCCCGGCAAATTGTGCACAGTATAATAAACGAACTGAACCTTCTTGGTGCCACTCGCAGTAGAAATTTCTTTAGGAGGTTTGACCTCAATAGGGCGTATGATGATTGTTTCGGGCATTAGGCTAATTGTTCAGGTGGATAGACAATA